ACCGCTCCTACTTTTGATGGTCGTGGGTATCCTACGATATTTCGTGATTGGGTTCAAGCCATCGAAGATTATTTTGCCTGGTACAACTTGATGGATGCTCATAAACTTCGCATCGGTAAGACGACGCTACAGGGAACCGTTAGACAAGATTGGAATTTCGTGGAGCAGCAATTATATCAATTTGGACAGCCGCTTGTGACTCTGGGACGAGATGAAATTAAAGCTTCGCGAACAATATCTTCCCACCTTTTATCGCCATCAATTGTATGATCAATTATGGACCCTTTCACAAGGAAGTTTGACTGTTACTGAATTCCACGCTCGTTTTATTGAACACAAAATACGTGCAGGGATTCGTGAAGAACCCGACATCACTATGTCTCGCTTTATCCATGGTCTTCGTGACGATATCAAGCGTGAAGTCCGTCGATTCCGTCCACATATTTTGGAAGATGCATATTGCCATGCACTGGAAGCTGAAACTTTTTTGGGCCCACAACGTAGATCTACCGGGTATTCCGGGCTCTCTTCCGCTCCTACTCCAAATCGTAGTACTCCTAGCTCCACATATGGCGTTGCCGGTCCACCTGCTCCTACGATACCCACAACAGAAAAAGGACCAGCCCCATCCTCGGCTGCTCACATCGAATGCTATCGCTGCCATGCTAAGGGTCACATTGCCTCCCGTTGTCCGCACCGAACTTTAACCATTGGCTCCCTCAATGAGGACTCTTGTGTGGACGTGTATGTGGAGCCCCTGGAACCTATTTATGATCCAGAACTTGATAATTGCTGTGAGGAGGCGTTTCACCAAGTGAGTGTCATGCGTTGTATTTATTCAGCATCTACGCCTCCACCTCCTGATTCATGGAAACGCACAAGTATTTTTCAAACCTATGTCCCTTGCGGTACTAATAGATGCCAACTAGTTATTGATGGGGGAAGTACACTAAATGTTATCTCTAAAGCTGCTGTCGACCGCCTTCACCTTCAGGCCGAGCCACATCCCTATCCTTTTCATGTTGGCTGGGTAGATAACACCATGTTACCTGTTACTGAAAGATGTCTTGTTCCTCTTCAATTGGGTCCCTGTCACGAGCGACTTTATTGTGATATCCTACCCATGAGTGTAGCACATGTGCTACTAGGCCGACCATGGCTTTACGACCGTTGTGTGAAAATTTGTGGCAGAGAAAACACATATACTTTTCAACATGAGGGAAAGAACATAACGCTAACGCCTTCCAATCCGGCCATCAAACCAACTAAGGATGTTCAGCCAACTCTATTACTTAAAGAGAAGGCTTCGGAGCATCGATTGAGTAGTTTATCATCTGTAAACTTTGCACACGAACTGCAAGACACTGGTGTGTCCTTTGCTCTATTGCTTAAACCGAAATCTGACAGCAACCCCACACCCCTTGCCGAACCCATACATCAGTTCCTCCCTAAATTCTCTAATATCATACCTGGTGACTTACCAGATGCACTACCTCCGGCGAGAGAGATTCAGCATGCCATTGACCTTATTCCTGGTTCGCAAATTCCTAATCTTCCCTATTATCGTCTGAATCTGTCCACGCGAGCGGAATTGAATCGAAAAATTCAGGTGTTGCTGGATAATTGCTTTATTCGTCATAGTTTAAACCCTTGTGTTGTCCTAGTTCTCCTTACCCCCAAAAAGGATGGTTCCTGGCAAAGGTGTGTTGATGGCCGCACCGTAAATAATATTACCGGTTTCATTCCTCCTCCGGTGCCGCGTAGTCCTTCTCCTAGTTCTACCCCTACAAATCAGATTGAGGACGTCTCAGATCATGAAGTTGTGGCCTCATCTCCTGGAGATTCTACCTGTTTTCTGGTTCATTGGGTTGGAAGGCCTGCTACTGAGGATACTTGGATTACAGAAGCTGAATTTCGCCAGTTGGATTCCACTCTTCTGCACAGTTATCAGATGCTCTTCATGACCTCGACTTGGCTGCCTCCCGTCCTCCCATCATCCATACTTACAAACATCGTCATCATCCTTTAGCAAGAATGCTAGGCCCCAAGGGATACTGGGGTCAACTGATGCAGAATGCATATTATTAGTTTTCCTAATTCTACTTGGATTAGTTTTCCTATTTTTAGTTTTCCTAATTCTTAAGATTCCTTCTTGTTAAAGGATCACTTATTAGTTAATTTGTTTTCCTAATTCTTAAAGATTCCTTCTTGTTAAAGGATCTCTTATTAGCTAATTTGCTTTCCTATTTCTTAAAGTTTACTTTCCCTTTTCCTAGACTAAAAAGGGTTTTGCCTCTATAAATAGAGTTGTTTGTAATCTTTTAAGGCAGACTTGATTAATGATAAATTTCCTTACTTTGAACTCTCTGATTCCTTCCCCTTCCCTTCGTCTCTTCGATCTCTGATTCTTCTCTTCGATCCCTTATTTCTTCTCTGTTCTATTGCTCAAGTGTTTACTCTAAACCTACGGGCTGTTTACTCTAAACCTACGGGCTGTACTACATCATCAACTCCCCGTGGTAGTCGTGTGTGTGAGTTTTCCTCCCTCCCCGTACCTAACTTTGACAACAACAAAAATTAGAATTTTCAGCTCAAGTATGATCCAACCAAGATCAAAGAGCTTGAGATGTAGCGGGCATGGACGAGGCATTGAAATCCAAGCCCCACCCATGTTCGACCCGCAATAATGTAAAACCACCTTTTTTTGATAATTTTTTGAATAAAAAGGCTGTTATAGATAACAAAGAGAACCACTGATAAAAGAGAAGAAATGTAATCTGAAATGTTTTCTTAAAATAATAAATTAATTAATAACAATTTTGTTTTTATAAAACTTCATTGATAAAAGAATATATATTTATATCTAACGGTGAGTGACCACAAATCTCTTGGACCACTGTAGTCCAAGAGATCGGGACTGTATATATATATATATATATATATTATGCATTTTCTGTTGGTAAAAATACAAAAATAATTGCTATATTTACAGAATTTCGAAAATAAAACTTCATTATAAATTCAAAATAAATACAATAAAATATCGACAAGATAAATGTTAAGAATACTTTGCAGATGATCAAGTCTAGAACTTGGTTCTATCTCCTTAAGACGAAATTGCCTCCTCACAGGTGCTTTTAGGATTTGCTTGGCAAACGTCTTCCAGGATACAACAATCGACTTCTTGTTAAAGTAACACTACAATCCCCAAGAAAAGCGAACTCAAACTTGTGTATGAATTCTCTCTTACTAACTCACTATATTTCTAAAAATATAATGCTATGAATGCTCTAAAAACTACTATTGTTGGATAACAATTGGATCAACGAAATGTTAATGGACCTTCTCTATTTATAGGCAACAAGGGCTCTGTTCAGAAAAGATGCGACTAAAAAATATCAACAAATATGTCTTTTCATGTTGCATCTATAAGCCAAGAAGTGCAATATTTCAATTATTATGAAACAATGCAACTTAAGCCAAGAAGTGCCTTATATGGTAATTTAGGAAGAAATCCACTTCTTAACTCCCTAGCCAGCTCTCAAACTTCCCCTAGCCCTAGCTCCCTCTCTTCTAGCGCTACCAAGGAGGAAGTGGTCATCTCTCCTTCGTCCCCCCTCCTCTCCTCCCTTTTCTTTTCTCTCTACCTTTTATTCCGTTTTATTGTTTTTGCTTTGTTGTCCTTTTCTCTCCTTTCCTTCTTTTTTCTTTCTTTCTGAGTTTCTCCTTCACCCTATTTTCCTGCCTTCTCCTCTATCTTTCCTTTCTCCTCTCCCCCCCCCCCCCCCTCCCAAATTTTCCTCCATTTTCAGGTTGCTGCTCGGTTTTGCAGAGCCGGTTCCTTTTCACCTTTTCTTTCTTTTTCTTTTTTTTCTTTTATTTAAGTTTAATTTGTTTCATCTTTTAGCCTGTCAAGGCATCAGTTTTATTTTTCTGGTGTTCTTTATAGGTTTCTGCAATGCATTTTCTCTCCTCATTGTTGGAGGTTGTGTCACATCGTTTGGTCTTAACTACTATCATCGGCTCCTTGACTC